ATTTAGCACAATTCTTCAAGATTCGCAGATGAGAGAAGAACATGCATTTGAGTTTGACAAACTTAAAATTCGTACACATTTTAGCTCTAAGACGTGGAAGTGTCTCGCAGAAATGCTTGTAAATAGAATTGATGTACAGACAGGTGTAGTTATGCGCAACGCTATTATGTTAAATCCATCACGCATAGATTACCGACATCGATATCTTCAACGTCTTGCACCAGGAGAACGAATTTGTTTTGATAATTTTCGCCATCATGGAATTCTTCTCCCATATGGTGCACTGAACGCTAATCATAATACGCAAAATAAGTTCATCATAGATCCAACATATGGTTGGGTAATGGCTGATAGTGCAGATCCACTTTCAGCATGGGATATATTTAAGGTTGTCCAGGTTAAATATGGAACGGCAGACGAAGACTTTTATGGAAAACTTTTCTTTTATCTCCGTGAACAATTTGAGATGTTTATTGATCGATTACAAAAATTTACAATTAATTTTGATTTATACGATGAAGATGCACTTAAACTTAGCGAAAAATTAAAAGGCAAGCAATTTTTTGATAGGATTTACGTAAATAATCTTAGTGATGAAACATACGTTGGTATTAAATCTACATTAACCAAGTTCCGACCACTTTTAAATGCTGATAATCCATATGCAACTTTAATTACGCTGTTCATGAATTGGTTGCCTTCTGTTCCACAATCTGATCAAGAAAAAGTAATGAAAAATATTATCCTGAACAATAGTGATAAATATAAAAGTAATAATATGATGGCTAACATTACTAACTTTGCGACAGAAATTTCTAATGAAATTAATGCATTATATGATCATGATCAGGAATTTGAAAAATATATGGAAACGAAGGGAGCGAATAAAACTGCGAAAAAGGTTGGATTACGCCGACGAACAGTTCATAGAATCGTACCTAAAAGACTCGGTATTAGTATGAATAAAGATGAACAAAACAATGTTCTATCGCTTGAAAATGAGAGAGATAGGCATTTGTGGTTTGATGTTGGAATGCATACATTTTTAGAACATTATGTCGAGTGGGAGATTGTAGCTTAACTATATATCATTACTTATTGCTTTTATTTGCAGTCATTTAAATAAAATTTCTTATGATATTTGTTATTTGTTATTTGTCGTGAATTCATAAATAAACAGTAACTATTCTATTTCGATGTTTGTAAAAGTTTTTTTTTATTGGTATATTTTAGGTCAATTATATTATTTGTAAAACTTAAATAAAATATTTTTCTTCTAATTTGATTAAATGGTATTTTCATTCCAAATCTTTAGAAAAAAGCATCTATCGTAAATATTTAAATTTTTAAAAATCAAAAATTTTTAGAATTTAAAAAGATACCTTCCTCAACAAGATTCTGTTAAAGATCAATTTTATTTAAATAAAACCATTCGAAATTGAAAATTTACCATAACAATTTTAATGGGCAGTCAGGTTCAATAGCAAAAAAAAAAACCAATCGTTAGTTTATTTATATATACATTTTAGTTTTGGGCGTTATAGTCTGATTATTTTCTAGAATTTTCTTGAATATGTTAATCGCCTATTAATTACATGCACCTTGATTTAATAATTACATAATGGGTTAACGATGTCAATTAAATTTAAATGTTAAAATAATTTACTTACAAAAATATTACTGTTTAGTGTTAGTAATTATAATTATTAAACAAACTATCTCAAACTGATACATGTTCAGAAAAACCAATAGAATACTGAAGCAAAAAATGCATGCCATCCAAGAGAAAAAGTTTGGGATTATTATATAACATTGGGCAGTAGATTATGAAAAAACAAACATAAATAGCTTGAATAAATAAATGTATTTCAAACTTCCTAAATTAATGATGTATGCATATGTATGTTCCTTTTAGTTGCAGAGAAAAAAATTACTTAAATGAGATCTTCTTAGTCTTCATGCTTGAGGGTATTATATTCGGCAGCTTGCGATAAAGATCACATGTTTATTAATGGTAGGATTACGATATGAATAACACGGTTAATATAAATTGTTGTAAACCTAGAGCTTTACATTACAATTTAAATTAACTGTAGTTTACAGTTCACATCTCTAGTCTGCATATGACCTTTGTAGATTTTTATTCTTTTCGGATTATCCGAATCGGAATCAAAATCTATAATGACAGACTTTAATCATTTTTTTGTTTTAGAAGCATCTTTGTAAAAATAGTTTTTCATATATCTTTGTAAACCTATTTTTTATATTACAAACTTTCGAATATAGAATTCAATTAAATATTTGTTGAAAAAGTGTTGTGCGCAATAAATTAACAACTCGGAAAGTACTACTTTTTGTTCAAAATTGCTCTTGTTTCAAGAATTTATTAAAAGATTAAATTAACTTCTTTAAATTAAGTACAGTAAACAAAGAAATAGAAAATTACGCGCAAGGTGTATTTCTAATTAGAATCTTGTTGCATATCACACATATAGTTTATTTTAAAATATTAGAGAGAATGATTGAATGCGCTGGTTTAACTATAAAAATTTTCGAATAATTCCAATTTAGATTTCGTTTACGCGTCTCAAAATGGGGTTAAAAAATAGTAATAATATATTATGATTATTAAGAATAAATTTTAAGTAAGAAAACTCAATTGGCATAAACTATTAATATAAATTGTACTGTCAATTTATTACATATTTTTATTTCAATAAATGATAATACTGCTGAAACAAAGAAATCGGTATTTTTTACGCGTCATTAAATATCTTATTCTACATATTTATTGTGTCATTGCATGAATAAACTAGTTGGGTCCGCAATTAAGCTCTATTTCTTCGTTTAATATCCATACTTAATGATGCATCATTCTCTCAATGATAATGCATGAAACAAAGAAATAAAACTTCTTATATGGTCCTTAGTTCTTGTATACGAATACACGCCATTTTCTCAATGATAACATTCTCCGCAGTAAAAAACAACAATATTAAACTACATGCAAAAACTTTTGATTAATAAAATTACTCAACTATTACAAAGATATGGATGTCGGCAAAAAACTCATCATCATTAATTCCACCTTTAAATTTTTAATCGACGATCAAATTTAATAAGCACGTCATGTTTGACAAACCTCCAGTCGAAGCAATTAAAGGAATTTTGCAACAGATTTACTAGAAAACTCAGGGGTGTTCGTATTTAAACGAATATACTCATAACTGCTACTTCACTCGATTGTGAATATACAGGGGATGCTACTCTTACAATATATTCTTTACCATCTTCTATATTTAAGATGTATACTTTATTAATACCATTCACCAAATACTTGAATAGAGGTAATTGTACGTGAAGTACGATCGATGTTGACTTTTATCATCCATTTAGTTCAATAAAGTTTTCTAAATCGTTTTTGTATTTCTTGATTTTGAAGACTGGGTGAATTATTTAACATTTTACCAGTTATAAAATGATATCATATAGATTTATGTATATAATTTAAATATAAATTATATAAAATTCTATATAACTATGTACATATTGGTGATTTTGATAATTCAAATTACGCATTTTATTGAACATAACGATATATATATTGAACAAATTAGTTACATATAACAACTATCAGTAAAGTTAATAGAGTAGTTTTGTTTATTTAGACATTATTTGACATGCATTTATGGCTTTTTTTTTTTTTTTTAGGAAAATCCTTTATTCGAATTCATTAATATGATTGATTTTCTTCTTACACTTTTTTAATATCTATAATATAAATATTATTATCAAAATGTAATTATGCATTCAGATGTCTGTTGATTAATATAACTTATGAATTCGCTAGTATAAATCACGTTATTCTCCACATTATAACCACTATTATTTTCAATTTCCACTTCATCAGATTTCGAAAATTCCGTCAAAATTTCGATACTATTTTTCCATTTTAAAATAGTTTCATGTATTTCTATAGCTGATGGGCGGTTGTCAGGATTTTTATCCCAACATTTTTTCAAAAGTTCTGCATAACATATTGCTGTGCCTTTCAGAATAGTCGGCCTTAATCCGCTAATACAAATTTCTGTAGCTAAGCTTGAGTCATTACCTTTATAGTCGGAAAATACAAGATTTCCTGAAGAAATCTCCCACATAATCATTCCAAATGAATAAATATCTGATTCTTTGGTGAATGATTTTCCTTCCAAAATTTCTGGTGCAATATACGGTAAAGCTCCATAAATTCCTCCCGATTCTTTGTCTAATGTTTTATTAACCGAAATTGCAATTCCTAAATCACCGATATAAGCACTATGCAAACTATTTTGAAATATATTTCCACTATGTAAATCACAATGAATAATATTATTAGAGTGAATCAATTGAAGATCAAATGCGATATATGATAATAATTCTAATTTTTTCTCCCATTTCATTTGTGCAACTTCGGAAAGATTTTCACGCAAAGATCCCATTGACGCATATTGCATAACTAAAATGTAATCATCTGTACCTTCATCTTTGATATTCCAAAGCATTGTAAAAACGTGGGGTTTTTAGATCCAATATTTGAATATGCAATTAACTTAAATTTTTTTAAAAAAATATTAATGAATAGTAATAACCAAATCTATAAACTTTAACATATCAAATAATTACCTCTTTTACAAGTCCCCCGTAACAATTTTTTGATCCATGAAATACTTTAATTGCAACTATTTGTCTTGTAGGCACACCATCTGGACTCGTGCGATCCCAATAAGCAGCATATACAGTTGCAAACCCACCTTTTCCAATTTTTTTTCTAAATTCCAATTCATTGAATGGAATCCATGAAATTGATATATTATTGTTAGATAATAGTTTTTTAATGAATCGTCAAGATTTTCAGAATCAACTGTTCTTTGAAAATTATTGCTTTTCGCTTTTTGCAGCCATTCAATAGCCTTTTCCTGATTAGGCGATGTTCCGTAGCCATTTCGATAACATAATCCAACTCTGAATTGTCCATCGTAAACACCATTTTCAGCTGATTTTAAATACCACTCAAACGCCTTTTTTTCATCCTTAGCTATGCCGTTGCCATCCTCATAAAACGCCGCGACATTATATTGTCCACTCGAATTGCCATTTTCAGCAGATTTCAAATACCACTCAAATGCTTTTTTTACATCCTTGTCTGTGCCTATGCCTCTATAGTAGTAGATTCCGACATTATATTGTGCTTGGGAATGGCCACCTTCAGCAGATTTCAAATACCACTCAAATGTCCTTTTTTCATCCTTGTCTGTGCCTATACCATTCATATAGCAGAATCCAACATTATATTGTCCATTCAGATTTCCACCTTCAGCAGATTTTAAATACCACTCAAATGCCTTTTTTTCATCCTTGTCTGTGCCTATGCCATCTTCGTAGCAGAATCCAACATTATATTGTGCTGTGACATTGCCACCTTCAGCTGGTTTCAAATACCACTCAAATGCCTTTTTTTCATCCTTGTCTGTGCCTATACCATTCATGTAGCAGATCCCAACATTAAATTGAGCATTCGAAACGCCACCTTCAGCAGATTCCAAATACCACTCAAATGCCTTTTTTTCATTCTTGTCTGTGCCTACGCCATTTCTGTAGCAGCCTCCAACATTAAATTGTCCTTTCGGATTGCCACCTTCAGCAGATTTCAAACACCACTCAAATGCCTTTTTTTCATCCTTGTCCGTGCCTATGCTATTATCGTAGCAGAATCTAGCATTACATTGTCCATTCGTATTGCCACCTTCAGCAGATTTCAAATACCACTCAAATGCCCTTTTTTCATCCTTGTCTGTGCCTATGCCATTTTCGTAGCAGAATCCAACATTAAATTGTCCATCCGAATAGCCGCCTTCAGCAGAATTCAAATACCACTCAAATACCTTTTTTTCATCCTTATCTGTGCCTATGCCATTATAGTAGCAGATTCCAACATTAAATTGTCCATTCGAATTGCCACCTTCAGCAGATTTCAAATACCACTCAAATGCCTTTTTTTCATCCTTGTCTGTGCCTATGCCATTTTCGTAGCAGAATCCAACT